CAGCCGCAGCAGCCCGGCTCGGCCGCGCAGCAGATGCTGACCTTCCCGGACAAGGGCAAGGACAAACCGGCCGACATGCAGAACTTCGGCCTGCGCACGGACATGTACAGCAAGAGGAACGCGCCGTCCAAGGTGGGCACTGGCCACTGGGCTCCGGACCCCTGTCCCACTGACCACTGGGCTCCGGACCCCTGTCCCACTGACCACTGGGCTCCGGACCCCCACCCCGCTGACCACTGGGCTCCGGACCCCCACCCCGCTGACCACTGGGCTCTGGACTCCCAGACTCCACCCCACTGACACTGACCCCCTGTTTGACCCCGCAGAGCAAAGCCGCCGCCAGCGCCACGCGGGAGTGGACGGAGCAGGAGACGCTGCTGCTGCTGGAGGTGAGGGGTGACCACAAGGGGACACCGGGGAGACACTGGGGGGACAGGGGATATGGGGTTGGGGACAAGGGATATCTGATCCCACTGACCCCTCTGATCCCTCAGGCCCCTCTGACCCCAATGACCCCACTGACCCCCAGGCCCTGGAGATGTACAAGGACGATATGGGGTCAGGGAATGTGGGGTGGGGATGGGATATCTGACCCCACTGACCCTATTGACCCCACTGACCCCACTGCCCCCCACTCCCAGGCCCTGGACATATACAAGGACAATATGGGGGTGTAGGGACAGGGGATATGGGGTGGAGATGGGATATCTGACCTCACTGACCCTATTGACCCCACTGACCCCACTGCCCCCCACCCCCAGGCCCTGGAGATGTACAAGGACAATATGGGGGTGTAGGGACAGGATATGTGACCCCACTGACCGCTCTGACCCCATTGACCCCACTGACCCTATTGACGCCACTCACCCCACTGACCACTGCCCCCAGGCCCTGGAGATGTACAAGGATGATACGGGGTCAGGGAATATGGGGTGGGGATGGGATCTCTGACCCCTCTGACCCCACTGACCCCTCTCACCCCTCTCACCCCACTGACCCCACTGCCCCCAGGCCCTGGAGATGTACAAGGACGATATGGGGGTGTAAGGACAGGGGATATGGGGTGGAGACAGGGGA